AAATAAAGAAATAAAACATAAATAATATACTAAATTCTCACACACTAAACTAAATGGATACTAAAATTCGAATCCAAAACTTTTCATATAGGAGAAAATGCGAATGGTGGCACAAAAATTTGTCATTATGTAATGATAACGTGTCAACACCTTACTTGTCGATATGATCCCCCAATATTTCAATCAATCGAATACTAACACGTCTTTTCGTGGATAAATTTGATACGCACTTATTATTAACACTTTCCCAGAAAGGAAAGGTTATGTTTTTCTCGCTGTAGTCTACTGGATACGTGCTCATGTGCAGCCCCTTATATCAGGCCAGGCCCATATTGTAATTTCCGGCCCACCCAAGGATTATTGGGCTCGCTTACATGTTGAACTTTACCGGCGTTTACTTTTTGTGCAGCCAATCAAATAATTCCACGCAAGAGGCGTAGACAATTCTAAAAAATAATGGTCGTAGGCATAGGTGAGGTGAGTGACTAAAAATACCGATTTTCCCACGAAAGTGGAAACTGGAAACGACGCCAAGTGTAGAAAGAAAGAAAGCAGTGGAGGCAGCAAAAGAAAGCCCCCTTGTATCTTTGTTCCCGGGCACACAAATACTGAGCATTGTGCTTTGCTTGTGGTCTACTGAAAATGGCTGCCTTCTTTCAGAGACTGGCTAAGGCTGCACCAGTCGCCTTCAACAACTCATTTGGAGGCCAATCCAAATCCAGCTTTCGCATTCCCTTTGGAGCTCTCGCAGCTGTCTCTGGTGGAATCTCCTATCTCTGCTACTATTCCTCGCCAGATTTGGTACATTTTCGTGCTAATTTTATATGGGTTGTAGTTGGATTGATGATTTATCTCTCATTTTCGTTCTCAGTATTTCTTTTTCTTTTCATTAACGTGCTATTGAGGTCATTCTTGTGGCCTGCCTAATTGGGATTCTTGAATATTGGATTTGGATTGGTGATTTTGAATATTTTAAGAAATGGGTTTTGTTTGTGGTGATATTTTGTTTTTGCATTTCAAAATTTCGATATTGGATTATGGTTTATTATAGAGCACAGGGCCCAGTTTGTGATTGTCTGCGTGCTTATCGAAAACTAATTTGGATTTGTTTGTTCAGGTCCTGCTCCTTGGATGATTAGCTATGTATTTGGTTTGCATCTGCATACCAGTAGTTTAGGATGTCTGTTTGGAGTAATGGCATCGTATTCAGTTTTGTTTTTGGTTCTGCTCAACCTGCATGTGATAAACTTACATGTTCTAATTCACCTAACATCTTTGCAATTGAGTTTCCTAATGAGATGAAAGGTTTTTCATTTTTTTCCTTGCTCATTTAGTTAGGGTTCAATTTATATTAGATGGTCTGCCCATACTATCAAGTTATTTATCATTAAGGGTTTAGGGTTCAGGGTCTTCTTCTGTATTGAGAACAAGGACTCTTTTCTTTCACAGGTTTATCTAGATGAGATCAAAGAACAGGCAGGCCCAAAAGTTGGTGAGTCTCTCTATCTCTCTCCCACAAATGTACCCAGAACTTGAGCATTATGATGAGAAAGTTGGTTAGGCTTTTTACAAGACTATATATTTAGCTCGAAGGCTTCTGTTTTATCGTGAATTAGGTTTTGTTTTAAAGTATTGGAAACTTGTTATATCAAGCTAAATTTCTGGAAACGCCATATATCCATTTTTTCACCTTTACATCATGCTCAATAGATGCTTTCAATGTGTTTCAGCGCTTAATCCCAACAAGTGGATTGAATTTAAGTTGCAAGATACTGCAAGGGTTAGCCACAACACTCAATTGTTCAGGTATATCCTCTGGACTCTCTCCAGATTCCTTAAATATGTTAAACTATTATCTGAAAGAAATTAATTTAGATCAGAAGAATCACAGCAAGAACAAATTTTTGTAGTTTCAAATAAATCTGCAATAATATGAAGATGTCCTTTTTATTTATTTATATTTCCTATAGGTTTTTAGACATGAAAACTGATTTCTTTTAGTTTTCTGTAAAAATTGGCAGATTTACATTTGATCCCACTGCCAAGTTGGGTTTAGATGTTGCTTCATGTCTCATTACGAGGTATACTCTGCTGTTTATGGTTAGTCTGTTTTGTATTGAAATCCCTCATCATGGGAAGTCTGTCACTATATTAAATTTTTCGATGTGGTCTTGCAACTGTAGGGCTCCAATAGAACAAGATGCAGAAGGGAAACCAAAATATGTCATACGCCCGTAAGTTTTTCTGTCCAAACGTCAATGTGCTTTATTTTATTTTTTTCATCATTCTTGTGACTTGATTAACTTTGAAGTCCTTGAATTCTATATGCTTTTCCATCTGTCTGAGTTATTAATTTTGCTTTTCAATGTTTTGGTTGGTCGTATTTTACATTTGCATGACTTGCAGTATTTGTTTGGTGTACCTATATACTCAGGTATACTCCTATTTCAGATCCAGATTCCAAGGGATACTTTGACTTGTTAATTAAGGTATGCTGGCAATAATGGTCACTAATTCTCCTGCTTTGGTTAAGATTTTTGAGGATTCACTGATTCTCATGGATGTAATTCACGCTTTCATCTCTTGAAACTGTATGCAGGTGTATCCAGAAGGAAAAATGAGCCAGCATTTTGCAAGCTTAAAACCGGGCGATGTAGTTGAAGTGAAGGGGTAACTTATTCAAAATCATAAGTATTTCTAGAGGATATGCTCTAAATCATCTTATAATCTGGCGTATCTGTTTCTTGCAGGCCCATTGAAAAGTTCAGATATACTCCCAACATGAAGAAACACATAGGCATGGTAAGAAAAAGTTATATAGAATTCAATATATATGTTTATATATAAGAATTTGCTCCAGCTTTTACTTATCTCTCTTACTTTGGTTGCCAACTTGCCATGCATTTGCACCAGTTGTAACGTTAGCATCTATAGGGGAGTGGTAGGATTATTAATGTGAGCTTGAAATTGAAAGGCCGGGGCACACAAATGGTTTTCAGTTCTTGCAATGTCTGTTTAATCAAAATTATACTCTCGTGACTACTTATAAAAAGTGAGATCATCCAATGCGTAATAAATCTATGTGGTCACCCTGTCTTAAGTCCGATTTCATTCTTTATTCCAGATTGCAGGTGGCAGTGGTATTACTCCAATGCTTCAGGTTATTGAGGCTATAATGAAAAATCCCGACGACACGACTCAGGTGAGCAATGAGCCTAGATAATTAGTCTTCAGTCACAACCACAAATTTATTTATTTGAAATCTGGAAATTCTCATGTCAACATATACATAATATTATTAAACATATATATATATATATATATTATATATATATATATATATATATAATAAGATCATATGTAAATAAGCAGTCTACTATGCTCTCCTTAACATAATGTTCAATTGTGTAAAATTAACCCTTGATGATGGCCTAGGTGTCACTGCTTTATGCTAATGTCTCCCCGGATGACATATTGCTTAAACAGAAACTTGACATACTTGCAGCTAGCCACCCAAATTTAAAGGTACGATCTGTCTCATTGTAAAATATTACCCCTGCATATCTCCAAATTGGGATATTTATCTCACAAAATATGGCTTTATATTGTGAAAAAAAAAAATTCAGGTATATTACACAGTAGATAGTCCAACAAAGAGTTGGAAAGGGGGAAAAGGTTACATATCGAAGGACATGGCCGTTAAAGGCTTACCTGGTCCTGCTGAAGATACTCTCATCCTTGTAAGTGTTGGTTCTGACGAGTACTCGTCGCTATAATATGTACACTTTCAGAAATCAAGATCATTTTCTAGTTCAATTTTCAAACTAACTCATCAACCAACGTTCATTTGCTTGTGCAGGTATGTGGCCCCCCTGGATTGATGAAACATATATCTGGTGACAAGGCTAAAGACTGGTCACAAGGAGAGGTAAGAAAGAGCATACCCGCTTTGTACTTGCTGTCAAACCAATTACTATTTCACTGTTTTTCCTTTCTGTTTTTAAACTCTTAAAAAATTATATTTGCTCTGTTGCAGCTCACTGGCATACTAAAAGAACTTGGATACACAGAAGAAATGGTTTACAAATTTTGATCGATGAAGACCCTTTAGCTTTTCAAGCTATCACTAGGCTTTACTTCAAATTTTGTGTAATAAATTGTTTTCTTAGGAAGCATACGCAACTTGAACTCAAAATCTACGATAATAAATTTGGGAAGAATGCTGAATAGGTGATATTTGGTTAATATTGCCTACATGAGTAAGCTGTTAGCCCCTCATTTTGAACAAGTTTTATATCAATTAAGGCAACCCTACCGTTTGACGGGCGTCATCTACCGCATATCTTATGGATAGAGCAGGGCAACTTGGTCGTGCTTAATCAGAACCAACTTGGATCCAATCCTAAAATTGAACAGATTGTAGTAGGTTGAGTAGAACTCTTTTTTTCGTTTATTTAACAAAGCAATATTCTAAAATTTTCTAGTGTGTGGAGAGGGAATTGACACCGATCTAACTCAGGTCTGCTAATCTATCAGACCATTTTTTAGTACAAGCATAGTCTAAATTACAAGGGGACATGAGTTTCTCGCACAATGCCATAGGAGTTTGAACCTCAGACCACTAGAGTCTGCAAGTCAACGTCCTATTTCACGAGTAACACTTACATGAAACAGGGATATCACTATTTTGCTATCCCCGATCAATCACGATATGCTATGCATGATAACTTTTTCACATAGCAGACTGTGATTGGCCAGAAATAGCAAAACAGTGCTATCTTCGTTTCATACAATTTTTTTTGCTATTCGCAGTGTCATGGAAGCTAGTGTGTCAGACTTGATTGGCAATCCATAATCAAATTGAGTTAGTGTTAAGTTAGTTTTGTGTAAATAAAGTGCAAGAATGTTAGACTTAAATTATTATTATTTTTCTTTTTTGTACTTCATATTATGAAAGTGGGGCCATGAAAATAAAAAATGAAATAAAGAGCGAGGAACGGCACCGCGTATATAAACCCCAAACGAGGTGTCGCAGCGCCAAAGGACCCAAAACGCCACAATAAAACCCAAACAACAGAGAAAGCACAACCCTCTATCTCACTCTTCTCTCCGTTTCGATCTCTCCGCCATCGAAGCCAATATCAGAACAGTCATGGACATTTCTTAAGACCTCTCCGATAATTCTTTTCAAACTTTTAAACATTTCCTTCTATTTTCAGTTTTCAAAATGGACGAAGATTTGCTGAAGCGAAACACCGATTGCGTCTATTTCCTGGCTTCTCCTCTCACATGCAAGAAGGTTCGTGAAGAAAAGAATGACCCGTTTCGTTTTTCCTACTAGATTTTACTTTTATTTTCATATAGATTTTGTTCAATGCTGCCAGCTGTGGTTCTTTCTTTGTTTCCATTATTACAATTACGTCGTACTGCCTTACATCTGAAGGATATTTGGGTTCTAGGGTTTGTGAAAGCCTAGGAAGATCTAGGTTTCTTTCTTGAACGGTTATATACAAATATTTTTATCAAATTCGAGTGTTCATATTTCGTTCTGTTGAAGAAAATGCCAATTTGTTTCTAATGGGTTCTGTTTGCAGTGAATATATTTCAATTTAAGTACATTGTAATCTTTCATCTGTTTGGGTAGTGACATTGGTGGTGGTGTTCTTTTTCAGGGAGCTGATTGTGAGTTCCGGCACAGCAAGATTGCGAGGCTCAACCCAAAGGATTGCTGGTACTGGTTGTCTGGGAATTGTCTTAATCCAACCTGTGCTTTTAGGCATCCTGTAAGCTCTTGTTCTCATTTTTCTAACTGCGTCAATGTCCCTTAGTTATGACTTCTCTTCTTTCTGTTTTGTGGATTTGGGGATTCGTTTGTATTTGGTGGTTACATAAATTATGATATGTTTAAGATAATCACAGTTTCACAATAAAACACATGTTTTCATTCATATATATTCTTAATAAATGATAAGTGGATTCCAGAGTATAATGTACTGTTAAAAAGCTGTTTCCTTCCTTGTCCCTTTCCATTTCTTGGGTTGACAAGTTAGGCTTAAACATTTAAATCAGTGCTAGTACTTGACACTTAATGTGTACTTTAAATTTGGTGCATTGTCATTTTATGGCATTGAGGCTTTCCATACATTTTTCTTTTCTTTTCGGAGTAATGTATTGAGTATTTATCAATTCATGGTTGTTTTAGGGACTCTTTATCATCCCTGGGTCATTTGATAAATGCCAACTGAAACTGTTTTCTTTTTCGTAGCCACTGGATGGGCATGGTGGAGCACCGTCATCAGAGTCTGCCCCATCTTCTGTATCTGCAAACAAGACAATTGTTCCTTGTTACTTTTACTTCAATGGGTTCTGCAATAAAGGTGATAGATGCTCTTTCTTGCATGACAATGAAGGTGGTGCATCAACTGAGAAATCTCCAAAGACAGCCTCTGCATGTAATGACACATTTGCACTTTCTTCAGAAAATAAGGCATCTGCTGGAAATGACATGATGCCAGCTCCAAGAATGGCACATCTCAACCCTTCTGAAACTGCCTCAAAGGAAACAGTTGATACAGGATTCCAGCCCAAAGAGGATCTTAATTATTTCGAGCAGTCAGTACAGAGAGATGTTCCACAGCAAAGTGTCTCTCCTCAGATTTCTGTGTTTGGGGATGAAGAGGCCACTGAAATTAGGTCTGACTCACTACCTGCAGACAGCTCTGTTCATAGCAAATCTCAATCATGCACAGATCAGAGTTCTGATGAGCAAGCTGATGACCTTGTGCGAGAGGAATGGTGGGAGTCCTCCCCAGGCTTTGATGTTCTTGTTGATGGTAAATCAGAGAATTTGGGTTGTGAGGATGATCCGGAGTGTTTTCTGACACTTGATGGGGAGCGCAGGGAGCTCAATAGCCACTTCTTGGGCTACGATTTTGAAAATCCCGATGACTATGTTCCTGTGTGTCCTCCTGATGCTGAACTTCTATATGAGAGAGATGTATATGACTCCTATGATTTTCTGGATAACAATCATATGCTTGGTAATGATGGAAAATTTCCTGGCTATGCAAAGGAGACAATGTCGGATGCCATATTCTCCCGCAAGAGGAAACTGATGCCAATGGAACTGGCAGTCTATGACCAGGATTTTGTGGATGTTCGAGACCGCCTGAGAAGGCGAAGGATGACTGATTGTCATTCAATTACTGGTTTATCAAGAAGGCATGAAGCACTTAGGTTGTTTGGTAGAAGCAGGGAAATGCCTCAAAGGCATGGTATGGGTTGGCGGGTGCATGGAAGATTGGCATCAGAAGTGAGAAATAGCACTTATGGATCACTCAGGGAGAATGGAGCTTCCTCTAGTGCTGGAATTCAACGTGTTTCACTTAGGCATTCACAGCAATATAGGCCTAGGAAGCATCACAAGGAGAGAAAGCTGGCTAAGCAGAAGCTTCCTTCATCTGGAGTGTCAAAGAAACGAGCACCAAGGGAGAAGAGATCTGCACAGAAGTCAACTACCTTTACAGGACCCAAGACCCTTGCCCAGATTAAAGAAGAGAAGAAGAAAGCAGAAGAAAATAGAGATCACATTGGGATAATGAGGCATGTGAGAAGAACTAGAGTGGACTTCCAGGGTCCCAAACCTTTAAATGAAATTCTAAAAGAGAAAGGAAAGATAGCTGACAAGAGGGAAGGAAATGCAGGCAGCAACTGAAGAGAAATTCTGATACGAAACATGCTTTTACTCAATGAAGAGTGATTTTCGGGTGATGATGATAAGATTTTGCTAGATAGAAAATAGAATTGTAGAAATAGTTGTTGTTTTGTGTTACTAGATGAAGCTCGTGTCGTGTTGGCATGGTGTAGAAGCTTCCTGGCATTCGGGAAATACCCCTTTTTGGAATCTACTTTCGCTCTCGGATATCGTAGTGACTGATTTGGAGGCTATTGCCAGAACCCTGCTGATGCACTATCTTCAAAGACTTGGCATCTTTGTATTGGGCTTGTTTTGATTTTTGTACAAATAGAGCCACATATCACATCTTGCCTCTATGATTTTTGCTCATATTTGCTTCTTTCTGTCGTTTCTTTCTTTTATATTAATTTCAGTATTATCATATTCCAGGTGGTGTGTATGATTGGGGTTGCTTATGTCAATGCATTCAACCTTTATAAGGCGATGTTGTTGACTTTGTAAAACGTACTTCCTTTTTATCGCTTGTCGATTAAATTAGATTAATTTAGAGTAATTTAGATTATCACTCGATTAAAATTGTAGGCTATATTCCCTGAGTTGGTTTTTACTTGTGCACACTTGTACGATAATGTTTATTGATGAATGAGAACAACAGTGATCAAGTTTTATTATTCAAATAAAACTAGCCGGTAGGCAGAATGAGTCAAGACACATTCCTTGTTTTGGCTGGCTGGCCGAGTCAGTCAAACACATTGCTTTAGAGGCTAGAACAACAAGATTGACCAAGGAGGCTAAAGGGAAGGGCATTGTTCAAACGCAATCTAACTTCAAAGGGCCCGTTTGATGTCTGGTTGGGTTTAACCTGACCCGATAACCTATCTAATGGTCCACGCGGCTCTACAGAGTGGTGACTCAGACTGACTGACTGGTCATCCAATTTTTTTTATAAAAAGTTTTCATTCGTACAAAAAACAATAAATAAAAAAATGCCGACAAAACAACCAAAGAAAAGATGACACGAAAGTTTTCCGTGTCCATCTCTAACAAATGTCCAAAAATTCACCAAAGTGAATTAATTTTACAATTTTCAAAGCAAAGTTAGAAATGAACAGATGTCCAACAACCAAGGGGGAGAATTCTTAGCCATTGGCACAATTTTTTTGCTACTCTTGACAAACTTGAGTTAGTTTAGTAACGTTTTTTTTGTCTTTTATTTAGAGACGCATGGGAAAATAAAGACTTTTATTCAGATAAGCTGCATTGAATCCCCTACATTTAAAAGCAATGTGAAAATTTTTTGTTTTTGTTTTTTCGTATTAATTTTATCTATTTATTAGTTCTTCTTTTATTTGTAAACTTAAAATAAAACAAAAAAAACACTACCCAAACCAAACCCAACTGCTCTTAAAACTGTTGAGAATAAAATAAAAGTCAAACACAAGGAAGAATAAATGCAAAACTGTCAAGGTAATTAATTAATTAATTAATTGGCATGTATGTTTTAATCAAAAAATGCAAAGGGGAAAAAATACGACATTTCAGATTTCACACACACCACCAAAATTAATCTCTTACAGATTAGATTCTACCTCATGGTCTCCTCGTTATATTCATTTGTCATTTTCTCTCATTTCTCTCTCCTCTCTATCTCCCCTCTCTCTCTCCCTTCATATAATAACTGGGAGGAGGAAAAGTCCAACGCCATATAAAAAAACCTACCATTATAGCCGAGTTCAACTTTAAATTTCGCATCCCAAATTCCATCCTCCATCCTCCATATCACAGAAGCCTCTAGACTCTAGAGAGAGAACCGAGCACAGCACAAACCAACCAAGACCACAGATCAGAGATTCAGAGATTCAGATATCATCACATCACATGGCTGAGGGTCTTCAAAGGTCTGAAAGCACGTTCAGGAGACAGGGGTCTTCGGGTTTGATTTGGGACGACAAGTTTCTACAGAGGGCGTTGAACCAAGTGGAGGCCGAAAAGCAGCAGGAAGCAGCTCAGCAGGCTCAGGAAGCAGAATCTGGTGGTGCGGCCCCCACCATGGAGCGCAGCCGATCCAACGGCGGACGGGGGTATCGGACGGTCAAGGTTTCACCGCAAGCCACGGACCCACCCTCCCCTAAGGTCTCAGGCTGTGGCCTCTGCGGCGCCTTCGGCAAACCAAAGCCCTCGTCAGCGCGTCGACCCAGATCGAATAAGCGAAGGTCATAGAAATTGAATCTGTACTTAATTTCTAGCTGTTTTGTTTTGATTTGTTTTGTTTAATTCAACAGTGCATGCCCGTTTTTTCTAAATTTTTATTTTTCGATGTTGTTAAAGGATTGTGGGAAGAAGGGGGGTTTTAGGGTGATTGTAATGTAATGTTGTTAAAGTGTATAATTAATACTTGATGTGTCTGGTGAGCTAAAATAATATCCATTAAAATTCTTATTTATGCTTCATCCTTCTTCTTTCTAATTCTTTTCAGAATTAGTTTTTGTTGATGGGGAAATCTTCACTTCACTTATGGAGTGTTCCTGGCTTTCCCAAAATCTAGAACATGAAGTTAATTACTAGTTAAGCTTAATGCACAGGGAGGGGAATTCTAATCTAGTCGACGGGGGGAGGGAAATTCGAACTTGGGTGAATGGGAAAATGTTACACAACACATATTGTGTTGTTAACTATGAATCTCAGTCTGAATATTAATTCATTTTGTGTTGATGAAAACAAAATCAATTTAAATTATGAACAAAGTGAATTACACAAATTCGAATTCATGTTGATAATTGGACGAGTTGTCCATGGCGGTTTTCAAAGAAAGTAGGAAGTGCAAATTTGATGTATTCAACGAAGTTGGGCTTTTTTCTTAAAAGGATTTTGACTTGTTTTCAATGTGCGATAAGAGATTATAGGGGGGCTTTCTGGAATATGCCCCTTTAAAGGATTGACAGACAGCACATTGCATAATAATGCGTACACGCGTTAGCAGCATCTTTTTTTCTTTCTCATTTTACCCTTATAATATGATGTCTGAAATTTGCAGTGTGTGATTGGTGTGTTTGGTAAATAGCAACTTTGTTTTTATTTGTACTGATTTTCTAATAATTATTTGCCTTTTATAAATTACATTAAATATTTTAGCGCCGGCCGGGCACCATGGTCCATGCATTCTAATATTATTATTGCCTTAAAAAAAAAAGATTAAAACAAAAATGCTTCAAAAAATGAAGACCAAAAGTCAAATCTAGTACTTATGATGATGGATGAGAGCTAAATTTGAGCAAGTTTAGGCCAACGGAATGTGGGAATATTTAAGATAGGAGTAGTTTTGAAGAAAATTTACAATTTGCTCAGTTGGTCCCAGACATAATAATTAATTAAAGAAAGGTGTGACAAGTTGACAGCTAATTCGTCTTCTAATTCAATTTTCTAGGCTCGCTTTCATTTTAAAGTCAATAATCAATAATCAATAATCAATACGGTGAGTTGAAGGCAGTAGGGCTTCTTGGGCCACTGGGCTTGCTGGATTGTAAGGACACGTAAGGAATAAGGATAAGGTACACCGAATCAAATTATAAAGCTCTTTTATTTATTTCGATTTTGACAATACCATTTTCTTGCACATACACCAAAATTTTTGTATGTGTACATCTGGTTGGTTGGTTGGTTGGTGTACCATTCAATACAAAAATTTCTTTCGCCTAATTTCTTTAATGTTCGTATTAAGAATCCACAAAATAAGCGTATAATTTTTTTTTAATTCTTTTGAAGAAAGTAATAATACAAAAATATATATTGTGTATCACAAGTTATATGACACTATTCAGCTTGCACAATTTGTTATGAGAAAAAGATATTAGTGTCATATTTTGTTTCAGTGAATGAGTTTTGACCCAAAATCATATTTTTCAATTTTCATCATTGTGTTTGATTCTATTTGGAGTCAGAATCAAAGGAAATGATGGGTCATTTGAAAGACTTTCCATGACTTCATAGTTGGTTCATATCTGAATATGTGAAATTTCTGTTTGCATATATACATATACAATGTCCAAAACCAGCAAAATTCCTTCTACTTACAGCTTGGTTGTGAACTTTAAAAATAAAATAAAAACTTGGTTATGAATACTTAGGGATAATAAAACTAATAAGGTCACCACCACCATATTATTATTATTATATGCTTGGACAAATAGAAGCAGCCAAATTAGCAAATTAGCAAATTAGCAATCAGCAGCAGCAGCAGCCGCAACAGAACCTTACCGCCCCATCATTTTCTGCTTTGGACAAATTCAAGAATCCAACGAAAACACAGCAGCAGCCACCCACAAGGGACCACGAAAGGAAAGCGTCATACCAATCTGGCAAACCATACTTGACTCCTATCTCCACCTTTTCTATTCGTTTTTCTCCATAACTGCTCATTATTGCTTGCTCCATCTCTCCTAATTACTCCACTTCTTCTTTTTTATGTTTCCCCTTTAATTAATTAATGTTTAATTCTTCTTTCGGCCTATAGGTTTAGTGATAAATTCTTTCATTCTATATGACAATCACACAGTCCCAGTCACGTGGTGTTATCAATCCATATAACATTACGTATCTATTTAATAATACTATATCATATGTCCACGGCATAATATATTTCAAAAATCAGCAATACTACAAGATATAAAGGTCACATTTAAGTATTTTCCCCATAGCTTCATATGCAAGACATGAAATGAATATCTCTAATTAGAGTCAAAAGTATCTCCAATGATACGTGCATCAAGGGTCATAATTAGCTTTGCGGATGTGTTTAGGTGAGCTAGGGTCATGATTAGCTGTTAGTTCCAGCGTCACTGCCACTGGTGGTGATCGAGCCAGCATTTTTAAAAACAAAATATTACCATGAATCCAATAACATAATGCATTGGTCTTCACAGACCAAATAAGTCCAAATATATTTTATATATATCAGAATAATAATTGATATATTATGCACACTCTAAATCCTCAGTGATACAATACAGTAATTAAATAAAAAATTATCTGTGCTCACATAACAGAATAGAATAAATACAGCAAATTCAATCCTGGGCTTTCTGGATTTTAGTTCTAAACAACAAAATGCAGAGTTTCTCCATTGAAAAATAGAGGAAACAACCTGTTGAATGGGTAACGAACGACCCAAAACCCGAGCCGACGATGCAATGCCATGCCGGCCCATACATTTTATCAAACTCCTGCGCAGGAAACAGAGAGCCCCATGATTAGTTAATTAATCACCGCTATTTCTGTTTAATGGTTATTTTTTACTATTTTAATCTAATGT